TTAGATTGTAACAATCTTTAACCTTTGTGCCTAAAAAAAAAAAAATAGTGTATCAAAAGGACAGTTTTTCACTTGAAACCACTCTTCTTTTAACTACCTTCACTCCCTGACAATATTTATTATTTTAAAATGTGATGATCAGAATTGTAATAAAATCTAAACATATGATGAAAGTGAATATATACAATTTTTTTGTTCTTGAGAATTTACAACAAAAATATTTAATACTATTTATTTCTAAGAATGTTTATTTACAAGAATAATTTTATATTTACAACATTCTAAAAACTAATACAATTAAAACTAATCCAATATTTATCATTTACCAATTTATAAAGAAATAAATATGAAAACAATTTTTATTCATAAATTTATAACATTTACTAAATTATTAAATTATGGGAACCAACTATAAAGAAATCCTTGTTATTTGCCATTTTATAAATTTGAATCAATTGGCAATTAGCTGATTATTGCCAACCATTCTAATAAACATTGAATAAATAGTGTAAATAAACAATCTAATAAATGAATAGTGTTTATTATTTTTGTTGTCAATTCTTAACTTTTATCACTCTGTATGTGACTTCATTTGCTGTACAAAAAGTTTATCCTGCTACTGAAGGTGACTGATCACTGAACAATAGTCTGCTCGAATTTTATAGTTGTGTTGTCATATCCTTCTATGGCAACAGAAAAATAACTTTGAGTGAAATTAGCAATAAGGATATTGCAATTTAGAGGCCTTGAAAAAGAATGCAGTGGAAAGGGAAGTAATATTAATAATGCAGTGTGCAGGTTAAGAACAATGAAAAAGTATAACATCACTTTAATATGTGATGGTTTTATTAAAATTCAAATCATCACTTTTTAAAACAATAAACATAAGAGTGAAGGTAATCAATATAATGTCCTGGGCATGATGATAAACTACATCTGGGAGCAAGGCCTCTGATCGGGAGGTTTTGAGGAGTGTGAACCACCCCTTAATTTCTGTTGTTTCCAGGACCACCCTGACCTGGGGTGGTATCACCTGTTAGGATGCCAGCTATGGACAAATATTAAACCCCTAGACTGGGGTCAAAACACCATGAAAGTATAAAAATATTTTTTTTTATAGTAAAAATACCAGCAATACATTTTTTTTGTAAAAGAAATTATTAATGCTCCCAAGAAAATTAAATTTTGGCATTAAATGACCCATAAGGAGTTGATATGCCATTAAACAAACAAAAATATTAATATAATAGCAGTGTCAAGGGAAAACCATCCTTTTGACACCTCCATTTTTTTGTGGGCACAGAGGTTAAAGATTGCCTAAATTATTACCTTTACCTTGGTTTTATATTTACATTTTGGCTGCTGTCTCTTGAAGCTTTCTTTGGAGATCTGTCATATTTGGTAAACTTTCAAAATTCTGAACACAAACTGTTCATTCATTCTACAATGTTAGACTATTATCATTTGGTAGTTTGTAAGTGTGAAAAAAATTAGACAAAGTTGGTATTTTGTAATAAAAAATAGAATAAATTCACTTACAGAATTTACATTTTCTGTCTTTTCTTTTTAACAAAGAAATTTCATCTCATAAATCACTTAATATGAACTTTGTGTATCCACAAAATTTGCTGAAAGCCTATTAAATTTTTTTTTCATTAATATTTTCCAAATTGCAAACAGACTTAAATGATCTAGAACAGAGAGAAAGATGAAGACATTGGATTTATTAAATTTACAGAATTACTGTTTATGATTTTATTGGAGTGTTGCCCATCACATGATGATGTTTGAATGTTGGGAATATACTTTTGCTATTGTGGATAATATCAGATTTTGACATCTTTGGTCACACATACATTCAGCTGTCTCATGAAACTTATAAATTCAAATGAGCTTTCACTACCATTAGATAACTGAATACCTATTTGACCTTTGTACTAAGTTGACACTCACTGTAAAAAAATGTATATATATTTTTTAAGTAGTATATATATATATATAAGTAATGTATATGCATATTTTATGTAAAAAGTAATAATTTCAAAAATCCATTTAAGAAATCATTAAATCTTATATTTCCATAATGGCTTTACTTTATAAAGATTTTTAATTACAAAGTTGAAATTATTGTCAGCAGGCATCAATCATAACATAATTGAAGTTGATTTTTTATGACAAAAACTGACATTAAAATCTGTCTAAAGTCAGCTTATCAAAAATAAAACCTGAAAGTTTTCAATTGTGCACCTCAATTACAAAATACAAAGCATTAGCAGCATTGTTGCACAATTTCTCCCTGCAACAGATTATGAATTCATAGGACTTTTTTCTTTTTTTAATACTTATAGTTGTGAGTTTTTCTTTTAGGTCTATACACCCCCACAAGTACCCACACTGCTGGAGGTGCTTTTACTGAAACATCATCTTTAGAAAGATTTCCAACCAAGGCTAAATTGATTTTATTTGTCGATTGGGTGAAAACTTTTGACTTATCTACTAGTACAACTATCAACAGCTTCCAAAAAATTTTGTCTACCCAATTTATCTCTCAAGGTTTGGGTCAACCAGTGGTATGGTTTTCAAATATTTCACAACAGTGTCATATGCCTGAATCTCCACCCTAGGCCAATATTTTCAAGAAGTCCTCTCCTTCACAAATCAACTATAGTGACATTCAAACAAGGGTCTTATAGTCGGAACATCAATGCTCTAACTACTCAACCATGCATCTGAAGATTCAATAAAATAAAAAAGGAAAAAAATTAAACACCCTAAACCAAACTGCCTTTGCCATGAGATAATTTTTCTGTAATTTTTAAAGCAAACTTTTTGAGGCTATCATCAACAAGGTGGATATCAATCACCTCAACAGAATCAACTTCCTGAGCCACAAACAGTATGAATTTCACTCCTTCCAATCCACTGCTGATGTCTTACCTCTCATTATATATATAGAATTAGTGAAGTGCTTGATAATAAATTCATCATAAAAGAGATTGCTTTAGATATCTCAAAGACATCTGACAAAATGAGGTGTAAGTGGTTGTTATACAAGCATTCCAGTTATGGAATTCTCTGGAAGAACCTTCTCAGTTATCAAGTTCTTCCATGAAGGTTGTTATTAATGGCCAGTCCTCTGAAGCCTATGACATCTATGCAAGCATGCTCCCTAGGCTCTCTCTTCTGTCCTACTCCTTTCTTTTCATATTAAGGAACTGCCTAAGAATGTTCTCAGATCATTAATAAATATATATGCATACAATAATATAGTTTATGCCTGGAACATCTGTTGGCACTCAAGCTTACTCTAAACCTCAGGTGGAACTCGTATATATGATCCATTGGTAAAACAAAATTAGTTCTTTGTACCACTCTAGAAAGTACTTGACTCTTACCTTGCTATATATCTACAAGAGCCAGAACAGACCAAAAATGGAGTATTGCTACCATACCTGGGCTGGAGCTGCCAAATCCTCACTTTCAAGTTTTGGCAGGGTTCAAAAACATTTATGCAGCCTTGTGGGTGATGAATTAAGTCCCAACTTTTGATGCCCTTTCCCACAGATGAAATATTGCTAGCCTCTCACTACTCTCTCATGGCTAATATTCAGATAACCTATTTTCATGACAGATGGTTAGACGAGCTACATTCTTTAATTCTACCAGTCCAGACCATCAAAGCTATTACCAATCATGCTACAACATACACAGTGTTACTGTTAGTGTTTTACTTTTAACTCATTCTCATTCCTTTCATATTCCATTGGTAAGGTGGAAGTTCTACTCAGACACCTCCTTCCCCAGAACTGTTAGATTGTGATACAAACTGCCAAAAGGGAGGTGCCCAATCACTGTGATCTTAACCTCCTCAAGTCTAGCATCAACAGTTATCTATCCTATATATCGTTGTAATATGCACCTCTTACTACCTCCTTGTACGATCTTCTTACGACATCATTCAGTAACCCAGGACTTTCACTGGTCCTTTGGCCTTGTATTGAGTGAAAAATAGTATATAAAAATTTAATAACTGGAAATAATACCCTTAAAATTTAAAAATACTATTTTTTTTATATGTGCGTTTCCTTTTTTTGCGAATTTCATCGAAACTATTCAACGGGATTCTAAACGATAACTGTCTGACTGAATGTAGTCCACATGCATTACCACTGAATTAAAGAATAAAAAATGGTTTGATCTTTTTTAAATAATCCTGGTTTTCTCTTACTTAAATCGTTAGTTACTAGAAGATAAAAGAACAATATCGGATGCAAAAGCAAAAAGAATGCAAATTACATTATTACACAATAGGACATTTATTTCTTCTCTAACTTTTTTTTACAGTTTTTTTGTTAGTCTCTATGATCTTTGTACTGTATACCAAGTATTGTGTTATTTTTTACTAAAAGTTATCAAAAGTGCGAAATAAATAAAACAATACATACTTTTGGGAATAGCTAGCAAGAAAAGAAAACTAAAATAAATTAATTTTTAATATTTATTCAAATATCGACAGACAGAGCGATAATGAGATTAAAAAAACTTTGATCGGTTGTGGTAATTAATCATCTTCTTTTAACTCAACAGCAACTGGACAAAGTTTTCGTAAATCGACCTGCTTCATCTGTAAAAATGCATTTTAAATCAAATCGGGTCTTTTTATGCTTGCATTTCGGTATTTTTTTTATTTTTCATGCTCTTTCTGGATAAATTTACTTTATTAATTACTTTTTGTTAAAAAAAACAAAAACAAACTGAAATTCTATGTTGCTAACAAACACTTTTTTAGTTCTTGTGTATAGAAATTAATTTACTTTAATTTTTATAAGATGTAGTATACTTATTTGAAACTAGTATATGCATATTTCGAGCAAATATTCCTGAATAAAAAAAAATGACAAACTTAATTTCAATAATTTTTTTTTTAAGTCTAATTTTTTTTCCCCAAAAACACGTGCGTGTTTATAACTTTAAGAAAAGAAATGTTTTAAACAACCTACTATTCCTTCGTTCCAAGTTCGGATGACGTAAAGTCTCTTTTATCTTGCCCGTTACAATCTCCCATCATTTTGGTAATGTCAGCAAATGATTCTCAAAATTGTTTTGAATCCGAATGTTTTCAATGGGAATTATTCTTTCTTTCCGACTCACTATTTCAGGAATTTCGATTGAAGATTTCTGCTCTGAAGAAACCGAAGCCAAACAGAATTACTTCCCTTTTCTGCATGCGCTTCTGCTAAACTTTGTTATTCTCCGAAATCATCCAAAAATATTTTGATTTTACTACTCGAAATGTTACCACCGTTTATATATATATATATATATATATATATATATATATATATTTTACCGGAATTAATAAACTGACAAAAAATATTTTCTGAATAAAAAAAGAGACACTATGTTTTTAAGTAGTGGGTCTTCTTTAATTGGCATATTTTTCACTAGGATGTTGATTGTTGGTTATTTATTTATTTATTTATTTTATAAGGAAGTTTGTTTTTAATGTTTTAGTTAAACAAGTACCAAGAATTTTTTTTAAATAGGATAATTAAATTTAGCTATTTTCAATTTTTGAAATAAAAAATGAAATCTAGCCATTAAAAATATTTGACATAATTTTTTTCTTAAAGGTATTTTTTTTTTTTTTTTTTTACTAACTACTATCTTCTGGAAAGTATGCTGCTAAATGAGGAAGTGGAGGGGAAAAAAAACCCGTCTAGGTCGCCTCAACTTATATTTATCATTTCGAGCCGACGATGGCAGCAAAGCATGTGGCGCCACCTTTAGGCAAATATTGTGAACAATGACGTCACACCACTCTGTCACGGGATCGCCATTTTGTAGTTTTGGTAAGTGCTCTAGAACGACTTTCTGGCTACTGCAGACTTGGAGTAAATATTCCCCTGGTAAGTGACTTGTATCTATTTCGACAGAATCCGGCAAATCACGTAACTACTTAGAATTGTTTTAATCTGTTAGCTTCGACATGTGTGCTATTTCTGAAAATATAGCAACCTGAGATACTTTCTTCTACATTACTTTGCTTACACACCCCTCTAATCCGATCATCTTTCTATTTTAATTTTTGGCTTCTGGTGTTTATTATAATTAATCAGCATTTAAACAATGTATTTTTTTAGTATTATGTTTCGTGTATAATATTCCTCGGATAAACACTTCTTTTTCAGTGTTATTATTACTGACAATGTTTGCAAATCTTTTGACTTATGTTAATATTGAACAGTCTCATTCTTCCTTACCAACATTCGTTCGTTGATGTGACTTCGTCCACTTATTTAATTACGAATAATGTCAAACCAAGAACTTTAACTATTTTATTAATAAAATCTTTACTACTGCACCAAATATACTGCAATATGTCTAAACAACGTTGTCATTTATAAATCCTAAATATAACAATCCCCACCTTTTTTCTTTTCTTTCTTTTTTAAGCGACACCTACTTATCAACAACAAAAATAATTGTTTTCATTATTGAAACAGAATTTTTTTTTTTCTAAACTAAAAAATAAAACTTCATGTCATTGTCAGCATGAATCTGGGATTATATGACTGAATTGCATTATTCGACCATGAACACTGCAGTAATATTTTTTTAAAAAATCCCCTTATTTTCTTTAAATTTTATTTTTAAGATGGAAAAAAGTAATTTCTTGTCTGGATGACAAAATTGAGCAAACACTTAAGTTAAAACAATGGGTAATTTTGTCTACTTTTTGGTAATCTATTTTTTTATTTTTTTTCTATTTTTTATTTGTTTACTTTTTTTCCATGTTTTGAAAATCACGAAAAACGAAAAAAAATAATTTGAAAAAGTTTTGTTTTGTTTCTCATAAAAAAAACTGGACAAATTCGTTAATTTTATAACAATGACAAAAATGAATAAGCTGAGTATTTAAACTAAGCATGTCCACTGATAAAAAAAACTTAAAAAAATAAATAAAGTATTATCGTCAAAATGCTTGTTTTACTAAAAATAAAACCAACCCATTTTTGTTTACTTATCGCGGCGACGTTTAAAATAACATTGTTTTTTTTATGTTTTTTAAAAAAATTGTTTGGATGACAATGAATTTTTTTTGAAAATTTTTTTTAGTTTTGGTAAATATTTTTTAAAATATATTTACCCACATTTACTTAATTTAATGAAATTTCGCCCAAAACCTTTTGGTTCCTGAAACGAAAAAAATAATTTGGTCAGAAAAGTTGCTGTCGAAAAAAATTCATTTGAATTTTTTTGTTAAAAGTAGGAGTCTTCGAATGGTAAAATCTACTTTTCTTTCTGAAGTTCTTACTAAATTTTTTGTTTTAATTGCTTTTTGTAAATAAGTAATTTCTGAAGAAATAATTTTTTTCTGATGTCATATAATGAAAATTGAAAAACTCAGCTGGACAATATTCAAGACATTTTAAATTAGAGGGGAAAAAAAAGCTTTAAGTTTAATAAATTTAGTTGATTTTTTTTTTTTTTTATTAGTTTTTAATTCCCAATTTTTATAACAATGACAAAAATGAATAAGCTGAGTATTTAAACTTAAACTTTTTACTTGAATTTATAAACTTTTTTTTAGTGTGTGTCAAAAATAGAATAATTTTTTTAAAAACTCAGTTTTTAATTTCAATGAATGTCATCAGCTCGTCAATCCTTATCAGTAAGATCAATTAATTAATTTTTGTAATGTTACTGTCCTAATTAATAGAAAATAACGTGTCATTTTTTTTTAAAATCGATACTTTGCCCTTTAATTATTAAATACACCAGAATTGTTTTAATTAATAGAAATAGTATAAACTTTCGTTGTTAAACCTAAAAATAAATCCCTATGATAAATTAAACGAAATAGTGATAATTTTTTTTAAAACTTTTTTAAAAGCGAACATCTAGCTCAATTAGTCTACTGTCTAGAATGTACATTTTTATAGTTTCTTGCAACCTACTTTTTACATGGTGAATATAACGTTTTTGCTATTTTAATTTTGATCTCTGTTGATTGATCAATATACCAACAATTGAATTAATCATACATTTTCAAGTGTTTAGAATAAATGGGCGTATTACGTTATTAGATATATTAATATTTTTATTTTCCCATATTACAATAATTATTGCATATGTACTGTAGTAATCCTTTTTCGCTTGCTAGGATGTTCATTGTTATTTCAGATATTTGGAATCCGTTTTTATGACACATGAGTAATTTTCTGATTCATTGTCATAAGGTGTTACTCTTCTTAACTGTTTGTTATACGCCTTCTGTTGAGGGATTTTAAACCAGTTTTATTTTTATTTTTTTCGTTTACTACTGAATCGAAAGATATATTATTTCAGAATTTTACTTGCTCACTTTAAATAAAATGTCATAATTTTACTTTTGATGTGCCTATTCATTTTTTTTATTAGTATTTATTTAAATCTCATAAAAACCCTGCTGTCACCACAAACCAAAGGGGGGGGACTGTTCCAGTCTGTATAGTTACATAGTATTATCAACACTTTATTTTCCTTCATTTTTATAAAATAAATAAAGGCTTTGAAGAACAAGCATGCCTTGAATTTGAATAATTAATTTTACTTAAACCTTTTAGTTTTACGTTTTTTTTTTAGTTTTCTTTGTTCGCTTGTTAGGATTTTTAGGTTTACTTTACTTTTTACTTTAAATTATTAAAATGAATTTTTAAAAATCCTTTTTTAAGAGACGAATAACAAAAAGGTTGCGAAGTGTAATGACTTTTTAGTTTTTAAAGTTGTTTTAAATTTTCGCCGATAACATCTTTGCTTTGCATTCAAATTTTGTTAAATTCTCTAAAAATATAATACGGATTGGTTTCAAAATGGTACGGCTGAAATGCTAATTTAATTCTGATTAATCATTAAAGCATTGTCTCGGAATGAAGAGAATGCAATGCCAAGTTAGTTGGAATGGAACTGATATTAAGGAATGCAGTGAGTAACTTATTTTGTAAACAGCGAAAATTTTGGAATTGAATCAACAAAGCCATCAACTCTTGTAAGTTCAGTGAGTTATAAACCAAATCTTGAAAGATACCACACAAGAATATTTGGGGTTTACTTTAATTAAACTGTTAAAAATACTTGATATTTTTCATTTGATTATTTAGCACTTTTGAACAGCTGACAGGAAACGCTATATAAACAAATTTAGGTCAACTGTACAAAAAGTGTTTAAATGGAAAGCAAAATATAAATTTTAAGACTTCATCTTGGTCAAGAAATGTGACTGCACTTCAAGAACTAAGAATATTAATGTTTGTAATAAAAGTATTTTAAAAGGTGGAATGGATGATTATATTCCTAGAATAGTTTGGACTATTGTATTGGTACAATATTTCCGACAATTAATTCTCTTTTACATTCTGTGATTCAGACAACTGAAATTTTCCTGAAATGTCTAATATTTGAATATGTTTCCTTAATCACATCACAAAAATAAATTAAAAAAACATTTTAATATTCTAATAGTACATGAATGTCTTTTTATAGTGACATTGGTAAAGAAGAATCTTTTGATAGAAAATATTTAGCAATTTTCTTAATAGCACTTGGAATTAATAACTGAAATAATCACTTTTAAAGCACAGCTGTTTGAGGTTTCCTATAGCCCCACTGAACTTGAAGTCAATTCAGGTTTGCTATGGTAAAAATTTTCTAAAAATGCAACAAATTCCATTGGTAATTTTCAATATAGGTACCTCCACAAGATCGCTAAAGAGCATAGCATGATGAAAGACTCCAAACTTGACAAAAACAATTTTATCGTCTAAATGTTTGTTATTAAGAGGAAAGATCAAAGTATTTTTGAGGTATTTGCATTTTTGTCAAGACTTGCAGAATGGCTTGCTTTGATCAGCAATCTGTGACACTAAATAGACAATAAGCAATGAAATTCATAGGAACAATCTGAAGCCACACTCCCCTCAGAAACATCTACTGTTATTGAAAAGATGCAGAGATGCCAGGTTAAAATTCATTCATGAACATAAGGACTACTGTCCTCATCTTTGTCGCCATATTTATTACGTTTCA